ATATATATTATTCTTAATAGAATTAAATTATGTTACCATATTTAACTGATTGTAAGTTGACGCCAAGTATTAGATGAACCCTATTTATATCAGTACTAGAAGAAACAAACCATCTTGTTAAGGAGAGACTGAATATGCCTGATCAGATAATTTATCAAACCAGAGTTCACAACCTCGCTTTCTTATAGAGGTGATGTTGAAATGTACGTACTATTATTGTAGACAACTGAAAGAGGAACCAGTAATATTAATAATAAAAGATAATGTATTGTGGTGATGAGTCTTTGTGTCTCCAAATGCTTTTTTATTTGTGCATGGGTATGCAACTGGAGCCGGGGTAGTATAGTCGGTATAGTGACTGGCAACGTGCTGGACGTCTGAGAGGTCAGAGTGTGTGTTCCAGTAAGGTCAATAATTTTCTCCACAGTGTCCAGACCGGCTCTGAGGCCCACCCAGCCTCCTATCCAATTGGTACTGGGGCCCTTTCCCCTGGGGGTAAAGCGGCTGGAGAGTGAAGCTGACCACTCACCTCCATCTAGTGCCAAGGTCAAAAAAAGTGGATCTGTGCATCCATTCTCACATACACCCATGGCATGGTTCTTAATTAGTTTAGCACAGGGACACCTTTACTTACTTTACTTTATGGGCACGCATCTAGTTCCTCTTTTATGGCACCTGCAGTGTCTCTGTTCATCACTTCAGTCATGTCATGTTGCTGTAAATATATTTTAAGTTGCACACAGCTGTTTTCCTCTTGAAATCAGGAGTTCAATGATTTTGTCTCACACAAACAGCTTAGAAAATTGACACAATGAACAACGTAATGACTGCCATCTGCACAACAACTGTAATTCTGGTGCAGCATGAAAATTGTCTAGGCATTTGCAGTGTCACAAGCAAATCCGTACCCAAATTAAGTAAAACTCGGTACTCTTACTGGTTAGAAAATTCTGCGCTAAATGTCAATGTAATATGTATAAGAATTGTAGAAGGCTGTGGTAGCATGAAGAAAATGATTGCAGCACTAAGATGAATGAATATACACTGCACACATCTGTGCACTCTTGGCCAGTTTTGCAACACTGTTTGTGTGTGCTTATGGATGTGACTGGGTTAAATATTGTGGTTGCACTGGGCTGTTGTGTCAAATTAGCATATGTTCTTAACTTTCAGCAAAGGATATTGCTTATGACATTGATTATAGTCCAAGAAGGATTTGTGTAATTGTGACAAATTGTAGAAAAGAGCAGTCACATTCAACTACATTTCTTCCCATACATCATTTCCATTTTATGTGGGTCGATGAACAAGAAGTCCGTAGTCACTTTTATATTCCCACAGTCTTTTGAGTTCTTGTCAATTCCTTGTTGTCTTCCCTTTAAATCTAAATTGTAATGCCTTTGTAAGCATCCTTGTGATTGTTTTCTTTTAATTGTATTAACAAACTTTGAATTCCAGCTTCTGATAAAATTGAAAAACCACCTCATTGGGACCCGAACCTTGCGGCTTGTAGCATAGTGCTTCAACCAACGACGCTACCATGCCTGGATAGCATAGTCAGTATAGCGACTGGCTACAGGCTTGTTGACAAAGGGGTCGGAGTTTGAGTCCCTGTAGGGTCAAGAATTTTCTCTCCTCCAAGTCATCCAGACTAGTTCTGGGACCCACCCAGCCTTTTATCCAATGGGTACCAGGTGATCTTTCTGTGGGAGTGTAGTATTAGGGGTGTGAATGTGACCACTCACCCCCAACTAGTGCCGAAGTCAAGAAAATATGGATCTATACATCCATTCCACCATACATAGTTCTTAATTAGTTAAGTACAAGGACAACTTTACCTTTTACTTCTGTTAAAATTTTATGCCTGTTGTCTGGATTTTGTTTCTGTTTTCTGTATGAGGTTCTATGTTTTAGTATTATATGTTGGTATGATTTTGTATTATACTTCATAGATCCACAGTAGACTAAGTATGGTACAGTTTTGTTAAGATCAAATGTAAATCAGAGTCTGATTTTCTTCTGTTTATGTGTTTGGTAGGTTTCAAATGTAAACTGTTTAAATGTGGCTGATAATGATACTGAAGTCGATACGGACTGTGAAGGAGTCACTTGTAGTAATGAAACCTGTGATTCAGAAACATCAAGTGCAACATCAACTGAGAATAAGCTTAAATCTCTGACACTGCCTCACAAGTTGGATATTAAACAAATTAATTGGGATGAGCTTGATGATTTACTACAGGTCAGATAGGTTTTCTTTTCATTACATTACATTTTATTATAGACATTCCTAGATTCAACATGATGAGATTTTTGTATTTGATGATGCAGTACATGCAGCATTAATGATTCAGTAAGACTATAAAATTTGTGTTTATATACTGTAGTTTTTGAACTAATATAATTCATGACGCATGGTCTCTGGTCTGCAGACTTGTGCAGTTATGAATATGGAAAGAAAATTGTGCTATTCAAAGTGAAGTCTTGTGTCTTATATTTGGAAATTGTGAATTTTGTACAAGCACATTGAAGATGCCTGACTTAACATATATAACAGTGTTAGTGGGTTGAAAAGTAACTTGTTTGGAACAGTTTTATGGCAAGCTGTAGAAATGGGTCTTGCTGCAACCGTTCACATTGGCTGCCACTTCTTGTAACCGTTGGGCGCCACTTCTTGTGACCGCCCCCTTTTTATTATTGTATTTATTTATTTATTTGCCCGCTTCGGTAGAACACTTGACTCTTCTCAGGACCGTGTCATGGTAATAACTGAGGAAACGAGGAAACTGCACATTTAAAACCAGTCCACTGCTAGAAATCAAAGACCCTATTTTCTGCTTAATCACAAATTGTTTATTTCAGAAGCAAACACTATAACTTTATTAGCAAGTACGGAGTAATGTGCCCTTTTTATTATTATCAAAGATTAGTCGAACCAAATAAAGACTGTTAAATTTAGATAAGCTTGGAGAGTGCAGCCCAATGACGTCTGCCTCAGATGAATTCTAAATGCCAAGTCCTTCTGCCCACTCTATCCTGCGGGAGTGTCGCTTCATCCCCTGTATAGGATTTGAACCGACGGCCTTTCTCCCAGACAAGAATAGTTTCCTATTGGCTGATTTTATCTGCCAATTCATCATACCATCAGCACTAGACGATCACATTACTAACTTTGAGAATAAAGAGATTCAAAGATATTGAACCCGGAACCCTACATGTGAAAGCGGATATTTCTTAGGTTAGGGTCCAATTACACCCTTCCAAAGACACTTTTTTATAACAGCTACCCTATTAGCAAAACAAAATTTACATCTTCGGCAAACTACAGACTTGCCTTTCGATGGCGGCGTCCCTTTTGCGGTCACCCAAGCTGCAGGTAGCAAAAGAAGGCAGTTGTTCCTGTCCAAATGCAAAAAGCAAGTCATTACAAGCTAATGGATCGGTTTCCCCAATAAATCAGTCACTCTATTGAAATGGCTAAAGAGGAAAATAGCGTCCATTGAAGAGTTTTAAAAGGTTTGGACTGTCACATTGCTTCATCTTTCTTTCGTTCTCTTTTCTCCGTCCATTGACATTTTATATCCCATTTCTCTCCACTGAACTCCATACTGCATCACATCTTGCATTAGTGTTACAGAACACCGTTGACTGTTCTGATCCCAGATGAAGTAGCCTTAGCTTCAGGAACATTTCACCACAAAGATGATCTGGCTCTGCTGAGAATGTAACATTAGTTAGTTAGTTATTGGAGAGGGTGGGTTTCCCCATGCACTGAGACCTGTATTGGTCCATTGTGCTTCCCTCTATGATTTCTACCAGTCTCTGTATCCTACCGGTACTGGTGCTTACCATCAGTCCCGCCCAGTCAGCGAGACCGGCTCTACTAGCTGAGAGGTATCTATAATGCTTCCCCCATCCACCAGAGGTATTAGAGACTGCTGTTTGGCGGGAAATGTCCGTTAATTTGGCTCAGTGACCTCCTTTGGAGATATGAGGTTCTTTTACGTGCCGTAAAGCTACGACATGGGACCCACAGCTTAAAGTCCCTCCCAGAGGACTTGTTACCTGAATTTTTCCACCCTTAAAAATTCGACGACCTCCACCGGGTATTTGAACCCGCGTACTACGAGTCATGAGACGTTACCTTTAGACTACGGAGGCCGCTTGAGAATGTAAGGTATTGAAGGGAGGAAGGAAGAGGAAAGGAGGTGGAAGAGTTGACATCTGGTCACAGATGAACTGTAATAATGTCACCAAATCTAACCATGTTCAAATATTAGTACGTAGGCTAGTTATCTTTACTGAGTTTTTTCTAGTTTTCTGTAGCCCTCCAAGCAGGTGCTGGGATAGTATCTAAAATTGGGCTTGAATTGCTTCCCCCCCATCTCTTTCCAATTTATTGTTCACTCTTCTCATTTGATGTTGTATTATTTGAACTGCTGAAAGCATTGCTAGGTTAAATTAGATCTGTTTCTAGGTTTATTTAACAAAGTGGTAATAACATTACATGTTTCAAATGTCCTTTGACGCTTTGATCTAAACTAGCCAAAAGAACTATGCAAAGGAAATTATTAGAGCTTCAGATTTCACTTCACTCAAAAACTCTGGTTGCATCCTAGCCATGAGTGGTCACCATTTCTAATACAGCCCACATAGGAAGTAGGATTCATGAGTGAACATGCTGCCACGCAAACAAGGCAGCGAAGACACTTTCGGAGACAAGCTGAGCATCTTGCTTGCTGCATCTACTGGTTTCTGCTTTCTATACCCTTTGACCATGAAGATGGAAATAAAGCTTTCTTATGAAACACCAGGCTTTCTCTGAACCACATTACAAACCAGAAGTTTGTAGTGCTCTATAGTCAGCATTGTGAGAACTTCAGACCCAGCATAATCAAGTTTTTGTCGGACCAGAGACCACTTTGTGACAGTGCCTTTCTTATTTAGTCTTATTGTATCTGGAGCTGCTGCATTTTATTTTAGTTTATTTTACAATTAGAATAGGCTCTGGTCTTGAAAACCGAGATTAAAAGCCGTGGGGATCCATTGCGCAGACCACGTGACACCCTCTATCTGCAAAAGTTGGCACTAACTTTGCTGACAAGAGGCAGTCACTCGGTCGGTATAGTTCGCTTACGGACTACAGGCCACGGAGTTGTTTTTAGTTTTTACAATTAGATAATGAAATAGAATTAACCTGAATACCACATTGTTGAAAGAAAGTGTCTTTTTCTGAGTATATTTAATTTTTTTGAAGGTCGAGAGAAAGGTGGAAGAGGCAGACAAACTATACCAGACAATGCCTGTTGCCCTACCCAGTGTTACCAACCAGTCCAGTTTTGATCAGTTTGAAGGGCATGAGCATATTCTCTCTACTGAGTCCAGTCTGTATGCAACTGACAGTGTTTTGAGTGAAGACAGTGACAATATAAAGAGTGATGATTGCAACCTTCAGTTCGATAACAGTCCAGTATCTGTAGCTGACGAGAGGCAGAACATTTCTTTAAAGGACAGTTGGATTGTCGAAAGTGATGATAGATTTTGTCCTAATATATCAGAACCTTCATATGGTTACTGGGAAAAGAATCTGAACCGTTCTCTCAGTGGCCCAGACTGCTTACAGAGACATCAGGAGAGGAGTTCAGCCATTGAAGATACAAATCTTAAACCTGTACACTATTCAGATGAGTATGAAGATCAACTAGAGAGGGCTCTAAATGAGATTGGAGATGGAAATGGTGTGGAAGAAGTTGTGAGACGGCCAACAAAGACTGGCTCAACAGCCATCAAGCGTCGGCCTGGCAAGAGGCATTCTAGGACTAAACTGAAACGAAGATGTTCAATTAATGGCCATTTCTATAATCGGGAAACAAGTTTCTTTACACCCCCACATGGTAGCCAAATGAGTGTCTGGATCACATCACTTGTCAACACGCAGGAAGTTATTAACCTGTTGTTGGAGAAATACAAAGTGGATAGCAAGCCCATCAACTTTGCCCTCTTCATTATCAGGGATAATGGAGGTATGTTATGCTGTCTTCAGCAGCTTAAGCATTGATAGGAGCTGTGTGCTTTAACTAACTTCATGGAGCTCAGCCCTTCTTGAGAAGCTGCCAGTTGTGCAGCTACTCAAGAACTTCCCAACATTTTATGGAACCTGAAGGTCCATTACCGTGTTCACGAGAGCCCTCCACTGATCCCTATCCTGAGCAGATCAATACAGTCCACATCATCCCGTCATCTCTCTCTGCGATCAATCTTAATACTCGTATTATCCTCTCACATACATCTTGGTCTTCCTAGTGGTCTCTTTCCTTCTGGCTTTCCCACCAATATCCTATATGCATTCCTTTTCTCCTCCATTCGTGCTACATGCCCTGCCCAACTCATCCTCCTTAACTTGATCATTCCAATTATATTTGGCGAAGAGTACAAGTTATGAAGCTTCTCGTTACATAGTTTTCTCCAACCTCCTGTCACTTCATCTAAGAGCTGTGTACTCTTTATTATTAGCTGGTATTGTTCAAATTTTTCTAAGTGATATGTAATTAGCTTATGGCAGGAATGACCTAAGTCACTTGTCTTTGTATTAAAATCAAGCTGATTAAATTGTCTACTTGTCCTTGGCAGGTTTTAGGCTGTTAAGGCAGCCAGTTCTTTGGTTACTTAATACTGTTTCAACTGCAATGAGTATAATATTAGATGAGGTGGGAAGATTTTTATGAATGATGATTAAAGAAGTTATTTGGACGAATATGGTGCTTTATTTTAAGATACTATCCAGTTATTCACTTGAAGGAGTTGAAGAAAACCATGAGAAGGACAAGATATCCAGTAACACAGCTTAAATTCAAATTAAGTATATCTTAAAAGAGTTGCCAAGATTGTTATTGCTACAGTACCTAGGTTAAATTCCTGGTGGGAGCAATATGTTTTCCTCTTGTCAGTAGCATCTAGACTGGCTCTGGGGCCCACACAGTCTTCTCTCTGTTGGATACTGCATGCTATTTCCCCATGAGTAAAGTGGCAGGGGTGTGAAGCTGACCACTCACCTCCGTCTTGTGTCAAGGACAAGAATGATGGAGTTATACCTCTAGTCCCACATACGTTTTCATGGCAGAGGCTTTAATTACATACATAAGTAAGTAGACTAATAGATCAGGGTGATAGTTGCCTGGCATCAAAATGATGCGTCTTTTACACAAGGAAGCAGGTGACATGTTTCTAGTTATAGGTATCATATTCCAGAGCAACGTCGGTTGCGTGATGATGAATATCCCCTGCTAGTACGCGTGATGTTGGGTCCACACGAAGATGTTGCAAAGTTGTTTCTGATGGATCGTCAGAATACTGAAGAAATTAGCAATGAGGTGGCACAGTTCCTGAACCTGAGCATAGCTGAGTGCCGTGCCATCTTGGAAAGGTATCAGGAAGAGGAGGAGCGAGAAGCAAAGAGGGTTAAGGCTAAGTAAGTGTATGGCTCTTTTCAGAATTCTGGGTGATCTTCCAAGTGGTATATTTCTGAAATTTTTCCTAGGTCTAGTATTTTAAAATATTGTTTGATTTATTTTTATGATAGACTAAACTCTTAGACTGAACTCTCTGCCGAGCCAGAGGTCCTAACTGATTTGTATCTGCCTATTCTCCTCTCCTCCTAATTTCCCTGATAGGTTGATTCACATATGGGGAGTTGGCTTAATTTTGGTTCCAGCCAATGACATTATTTTAAAGGGAATTTCGCCCTAAAAGACAAAATGGCGAAACTGACAGCGATGCAAGTTATGAGTGGTCACTAATGATCTCCAGGCACTCCCACTTTTGACTTACGGCTGGTAGAAACTGTCAATTCTCGAATTCTCAAAGTGTCTTGCCGCTTTAAGGCTAATTCTACATTTCTAAAGAAACTCAGTGGGGTTTCTTGAAGTATCACTTTCTGCCTTTTTGGTAAATAACACAAGATGCTTGGACGTAAGGACTAGCAGATGTCCTTGTCCGCGCAAATTTGGTCTATCTGCTCATCACATATTCATTGTTCTTACAATATGTCTTAATTAAACCCTTGTTTCTTCATAACTTCTTATTATTAACTCTATTAGCTACTGAAATAAGGGGGGGGGAGGATTCGATGGTGCGGTTACACAGGGTCCCACGTCACACGCATCACACCAGTACACAGATTTGACACACAACATGCCGTTTCTGTGGTTTTGATTTCTTAGCAGCTGGTGGAATCTTGCTTATAAAATTTCTTTCTCTTAGATGGGGCACTGTTTTGTCAGATGAATGTCGATCCAGCACTTTGTGTTCTACAGCATTAGCATATATTTCACAGAGAGTCCCTCAATTAACTGAATTCTGATTGACAATTGATCTATTCTTTCCCTTGTGTTATTCCTACATATTATCATCGCATTCAGAAATTTTCTTTTTGCCCCTTATAGTTTTGCATATTCTCCCAGTGGATGTTTGTGCTGTTCTTGATTCTGTCATTTACCTAAAAATCGAGAAAAGCACAAACATCCATTTTCAGTGTCTAATTCCGAATCTGATAAAACTTTGTTCTGATTCAGTTTGAAGTAAATGTATTCTCCACAACACAGCTGGCCACTTCATGCCTTGCAGCTGGCTAACCAGATGGCATGATGCCTATTTATAGAACAGGGGAATGACAGTAGTTATCATTCATATAGTGAACTGTGTATAATTTGCTACAGTAGCTGTCATAACACACTTCTAGAGTCAACATCACGGCTCAAAGTCATAAATTCTCCACGTGTCTTCTCGTAGTTACAAATACCAATGTTGAAGCAGTACTGATCAGAATATGCCTCAAGAGAATCGACATTTCATTCGATCAGGATAGAGGACAGAACACAGTATCGATCTAACATATTTAGTTCATAAGAATTCCCCTAGGCAGATATAGGTTTGTATGGTAACAAGCGCACCAAGTGTTGAAATTGAAGACGTTTTCAAAGAATTCAAACATATTAGAACTCCTGCAGGAAGTTCAAAGTGGGACAATGAATGTACGAAATGATAGCCTGAAATTTCCTCTTTAATTTCATACCAAAAGAATTACTTTACATGAAAAACAATGGTGCAAAGTATGGGCTGAAACTTAGAGCTGCAATATGCATGCGGGGATGGAGCCTGGCGACACGTGACAGAAACCGCTGGTGTGCCAGGTATGGAGCCCGTCACTGTAGGGTTAATGTGACTGGTAAATTTAAGTAGTAGTCGTGGAGGCCTGGTGAAGAATGCTGTTTGAAGTGGAAGCAAGGTATTGTCTCCTTGTAATGGATTTTGTACAGTAAGCATGTATTCTGTATAAGGTAAGGAAATTCAACAAGGCAGGAGCTGTACTGTACAGTGATGTACAGTTTCTTTGGATGAATGCCACTAGGACAGATTGTGGCCCTTTAAAATCTGCAGATCTTTAGGACAAGTCATGTAGCCTTTGAATTTATTTTATTTTATTTTCAATTTCATTATCTCTCCTGTGGCACTAACTTCACCGACAAGCAGCAGCCACTTGGTCGGTATAGTTCGCTTGTGGACTAAAGCCATGGAGTTTTTCTTCCCCCTCTGTACATCTTCTATTACCCATCTTATCTGTTTTCCTTCCCTTACATTTCTCCCTGAAGACAGTAATATTCAATTCTTAACACATTCTTCTTCACTTTTACAGATTTCGAGAACTCCGTAAAAGAGTAAAACAAAGAATGGAAGAATTAAAGGTAAGGTTATGATGTTTGTTACTATTCATCAGGATCCTTCATTCTAATCAAAATATGCTTAATGCTGTTGCAAGTCTCAACATTGCTCTCTAAGAAGAAATGTGGAAGCAGCTTCTGAATTATGGCAGTGTGAGTTTTATGTTCTGCGGCATAATTGTAAATGTTCTGTGATGGATCATTTGAATGAGAAACAGACTACAGAAGAAACAGTTGAGATAAGAAAAGAATAGGTTTAAACATTTTATGTAATGTAGCTGTCTTTAATATCAGTATGTTGTCTTCCCCAGTTGAGATTGGTAGGTAAGAACTGTGGTTTTCAAACTCTTTTAAGTGGACCTCAGAAGTAAGGTATGTACTGAATAATTCAAAATGAAGTAGACATTTTCATATACTAATAATAAAATACTTATTCATTTGACATGATGCCACATATACCATTAGGCAGCTAATCTCACTAAGTTATTTTCCAGTACCAGCCAGAACTGTAATTCTCTTCCTGCCCACTAGAGGTGCACAGTTGTGAAAATGGTGTATATACAGGAGAGAACTTGTATTGAGAGCAGACCAACGTATGATGATGTTTTTAAGAGTTGACATAATGACTGCAGTCTCTGTACTTGTAAATGCTCATTTTTTTATTTCTATCTTTCTTTTATTTTCTTGAGAAAGAGAGAACTTTTCATTTGGAGATTGAACATGACCATGAGAAAGCTGAGAACCAGTGGACTAGTATTTGTCATAAGTAGTATCATAATGAAAAATTAGTGCCATAGATATGGAGATTGCAGCCTAAACATATGTTTTATTCATATTTACTGAAGTCTTGCATGTGCAGTACAAAATGCTTTATTTCTAACGTTTTCTTTTGTCTTTAATAAATGTTTATTTTTAGAAAGCACTTAGGTAAACAGACCAGTAACATGATTTTAACTTCATTGACTATTGTAATATATTAGCAGTAATTCTATAAAATGTCAAATACAGTAATAAAGCACTATCACATCTTGTAATAACCAAATAGGAAATATATAGATCAACTAACCTAAATCGTGTATCATTCCATATCAGTGTAATGACACTGATTTTGATTTTCTTCAGGTCACAGACATATAACTCTCTTTTTTAGGTTATGTCAGAGAAGTTTGTTATACATTGACATGAGATTCACAGAGATTTTATAGTAGAACTTCTTTAGATTCATACATTAGATTAATGCAACAGAAAAATACTGTCTTTTGATTGTTAAGCCTTTTCTGTCACCCTTTTGCAATGGCCAGTGATGTGTTTGGCCAGTAGTGGCATTCAACAGAAATTCTGTAATCATGGGGGGAAAAAAAAACCCGATAAACGTCACTAGATGTAAACAATAGTTTTCTACAATTCTGGTACCCGTAATATAATGCTAATCAGAATTTTGCACAGTGAACCACTAGTTAAGAAACAATTCTGTGTTATGTATTCATTCTTTATTATTTTTTTTAGGTTAATTAGGTTCAGACATTGTAACAATTATGTGTCAGCTGCTTATGAAATTATCCCTAGGGATTACTAGGTTTTTGGGCTTCTTCCATCTGGTATTCTGAAGAGCGCAACATTTCGGAAACTGGATCTGTTTCCATCCTCAGGTGAGAGGGTAGGAGACACCTACTCTGTTGGGTCTATTAGAAAAAGCAAACCTCCATCAGTACCAGAGTAGGTGTGTCCCCCCACCCCCTCACCTGAGGGAGGAGACAGATCCAGTTGCTGAAACATTGTATTCTTTAGTGTTCTTTACAATACTGGATGATTCACAAAGTCCAAAAACCCAGTAATTATGTTATACACCATCATCAGATCCCTTGAGACTCTACTTGTGAAATTATATATGTAAAAATTAATGTAAGTTGGTTTCTAGATGTAACTGTTGCCATTTGCGTTTTGCTGTTTGCATGTACCGATGTTCCTTGGACTGATTTCAGCCAATTTCAGTAAAAATGTAGTATATCCTTACAGCATCTGGTAGTGCTGTGAACTGTGGTATATCTTGTGGTGGTGATAAACTTGTGAATGACACAGCTGTTTGATTTGTCTCTCTGATAAAAATCCTATATTTTCACTAATACCCTTATGACATAGAAGTGCCTTTGCTGGCACATAAAGTAATGTACACTCATCTGGAAGACTGTAAGAGGTTCCTTTCTCATAGGAACTTAAGTTCTGCAACTTGTCGGTACAGTATGGTTTTATAACATGAAAGTTTTATGACATACTAACAGTGAACTGTCTGTAGTTAGGCAGATAACTGTGGTCATCCTGTTGTAAGGAACTGATTTGATGTATCAGGAGGAGTACTTTGCCATTTGTAATAAATTAGTGACAAACTTTAAGGTATATAAATCTAAAAGAATAGATGTGATGATTCCAGAGTGTATAAGGAAAAGACCACACATCATGAGGACTTCATGGCATCATGTAAAGACAGGTTGTGTAAGAGAAAGGACTTTCTGTACATTTTTCCCTATCGTGGCCATAAGCATGGAGAAGGTTTTGTACTTTTACGTTGAAATGAAGGCAGTGAGTACAGGCATTCCTCAGCTTTTGTGATAGTTGAGTTCACAAGAGTTGTTGTGTAACTCAAAATTTGTATTGCTCATTTGTTTTCACAGCCACTGATTTTCTTTAAAAAATGTGTAATTTACTTAACTTTAATACTGTGCATATTAGCTACTTGTGAACTTTTTTTTCTTTACACATAATTTCATTGTCCTTTAGTCTTACTATAGAAATTAAATTTGAAAGATTTCATGTGAAATCATGGTAACATGAACGTTGCATAAGTTGAGTGGTGCATGTATCCAAAAGGGAGTGGGTAATGTTGATATGTTTCATCCTGGTCCGTCACACTAACAATATTATAGAAGGGTTAATTAATTCTGTCCAGTGTGACCATCTTCAGAGTATAACAACACTGCACCTTGAACATCACCAGGACAACACTGAAGAATCCTATTCTCCAAACAACAGAACCGCAAGGTGGCAGATCCTTGGCTTCCTTCAAAGAGGAGAAATAAAAAGGACACGAACCAATTTGGTTAAAAAAATAACAGAATCTTTTTAAGCATACTAATTGTAATTTATAAATATTTTATCGTATTAATACAAGCTACTGTATTTGTTAAAAACATTAGATTCTGTACTCATTGTATTATGAAGGCATTGTGTGTATGTCTTGTTCAGAAAACATATTGTAATAGTGGCTTCTAATTGTATCGATATCCTTCTGAAGATAGTCTATGCTCGTAAGACCGAAACATGTTAAGGATAAAATATTAAAAAGGAGAACAAAACTCCAGTCACACTGGATGGAATTAATTAACCTTTTATAAAGGGAGTGGGTAATTGTTGTTGGTCTTGAAGATGATCCAGTTGGTGCGGTAAGAGATGGTGTCTAGGAATGTTGACATGCATTTGTCAGAACTGTTACTTTTTTGGTAAATGTTGTGGGCTTGAACTTAAATGATTGTATTTTGTAAACCATGTTACTGCTTCATACTTGTGTATCATTATTTCATTTTTATGTGTATTTTTGCACTCTTTTTTTAGTAACTTTGCCAAATATATTGACTAAGCAGTGATTGAAGTAATGAGCATAAAGTTATTGCACAAACCAGGTATAAGAATATTCATAGCAATTCACCTATGGCCTTCTTTCAAGTGCTGTTGGAAAATGTGCATTAAAGTCAGGATTATGAGTGATCCTGAAGTTTCATCATTCAGTCAGTCACACAATTTTGTAGAATTTGTGAGATCAAATTGTGTAGCAAAATATCATAAACTGTCATTTTTATGGCCTAGAACAGTGTTTCTCAACCCTTTCTATACTGTGGACTGGCAGAATATCTGAATTCTATACTGTGAATGCTTACTTTTATAGGCATAAATATGTATTAAATTTTAAAGGCATATAAGTATTGAAGCCTTCACAAATAATTTTTCATCCAAAAAACACTGTTGATTAGATTGTCTTTGTCATTTCATTTCAAGAGACTTAGTTGAAGAAAATCAGTCTGTTTATTTTCTTTGGTAGTAAAAACCTTTTTGAGATGGTAAAAATTTGTTACATACTGGCAGTTGAGAGAATTTGGTCTAGAATGTGTATATAATTCCATACATTCTGAAGTCTCACGCAGTTCACCAGAATGAAGTTGTTCTAGAACAGTTCATTGTAGGAAATTGAATCTGGTAATGCCTTCAAACTGAGCATTCTAAAACATTTTGTTAATAATTTAACAATATGTAGCTTTGGGTAATGATTAGATAGCAATACTTATTTACCTCATTGATATAATACAGTGGTAGTGGATACTAGTATTAAAATAAGATTACGTGTTTTGTTGTCACCCTTTTATTTGACATATGTAATTTTCTGTAAACAGACAGGGAGTAGTGAGTTCATTTCTTCCAGATGTACCATTTGAGATTGTGGAGAAACTTTGTCTGAAGCTAGGAAAGTCTATAGGCTATTTTCTTTACTTCTTATGCTTTTGAGGGATTTTTACAAATGGAGGAATACCCTAGTATCAGGGTCTAAACAGATATCCTTAAAAGTTTATGGACGCTCTCAATTCAAGTTATTGGACAGTTCAGTCATATCATTTCATAAAAAAACCCCTAGTTTACTTAGGACCATAAATGAAGTTTTGTGTGTATACTGCAGACAATTGCATTGTTATAGGAGACTTCCACCAGAAGTTCCAGTTTTCAGCCATATTGATCCATAATAAAATTACCTAAGACCGTAAATGAAGTTTTCCACGTATCCCATACAGTTTTTCACAGATTTGGTTGAAATTTGGTACTGGGAGACTTGCACCAAAAGTTGTTACACAGTTCCAGTTTTCAGTGATATTGGTCTGTAAGAAAGTCTAGTTTTCATGAGATCGTACATGGACTTCGTGTATATCCTCTAAAATCTGCCACAGATATTACTGAAACTTGGTATGAGAGACTCACTGATTTGTATTTCATTATACCTGTTCTTAACTAATCTTAATTACCTTAAAGAATGCCATTGGAAATTCGGTGTACTACATTATGGAATACAGAGCCTGAATAGCTCAGTTTGTACAACGACTGGTTACGGAGTGGACAGCTGAGGAATTGGGGTTTGATTCCCAGCAGGGGTAAGAGAATATTGTAGTCTGCACATCATCAAGACCAGTTTTGAGTTCTTTCCACCTTCTTGTCCAGTGGATACTTGTGTCTATTTCCCCAGAAGTAAAGTGGCAGGGGCATGAAGCTCAACACTCACCTCCATCTACTGCCAAGGTTAGGAATACATGGATCTTTACATCCTTTCCCTAAGTCTCCATGGAGTAGTGCTTAATAAATTGAGCATAGGGACAACTTCATGTTATGGAGTATGCCCCTTCAAACATGATATTGCAGTGTTACAGTTCGGATAACATTAGTTTTCATTTTGGTTTTATGAATTATGGTAAGGTTCCCATTCTTTTTACACAAGCATGGTCTAGTCCACTGCCTCTCAAACCAAACTATACCATGGACCACTGAAATATCAAAATGCTTTACTCTAGCTCGTTAGAATTATTTGGATATATATATATATACAGTAAAACTTGGTTATAGCAACATCGGTTTCTGTGACACCTTGTCTATTGCGTCAAATATTCAATGGTACGAACTAATTCCTCATAAAACAACTGTTTTTACACCTTGCTTAGTACGACATGCACAAATGCATCAACCTCGTATGTAACGTCATTTTCATTCCTGAATTTCTCTGAGATGGACATTGAACGTAATTTAGAAAGTGTGTACTGGGCAAGTAACAGGAAACAGATGAAGATAACTGATTACTGTACTCGTATCTAGGTACAGTAAGGCACAACAATTGATGTAATCTACTGTAATTTGGTGAGTAGGCCGACCTTTAATATATAGTATTAGTGCGGTGTGTATTGTCAGTGAAAAGCGCTGTAATATGTCTTTGATATTACACATTTGGGCAATTCCACGTTAATGTTTGGTTAGTCTGTACTTAACTACGTATTTCACTAAAAAATGCAACATTTTAACTCGGTTTTTGGTAGATTTTTACGTGACTAACATAAGGCTACTGTGGAAGTGCCCATTTCGGTTACAACGACATTCGTTTATAACGACACTATTTTTAGGTCCCTTTGATGACGTTATAACCAAGTTCTACTGTATATATTACATTTTTATATAGACATGACATTTGAGCATGTGTACATGCACTATGCAAAGAAGCCACAAGGCAAGGCTTTTATCATGAGTAGGATTCACCTTTTCGTAACAGTTTGAAGAAAGAAATGACCTTTGGCAGTAAACGATTTTAGGGCCAATAAAAATTTACCTTGGGCCAGCTGCTGAGAAACATTGGTATAGTCAGTAATAAAATCTTTGCAGGCCATCAGCAGTTGTCAGTTATTTGTAAATTACCAATGTTGTAAGGACTGTCTCCTGCACTATCAGGGTCTGATGTGACTTGTGATACAAACTGTCCCTTTTATATATCGGCCTATGGCTGAAAGACTTTATTAACTTCAGATCTTACAGGGTGTAGTTAACTCTCTGTGC